GGGGGTGGGCAGGGGCTGGCTGCAGGGGCAGAGGGAGACAGAGGCGAGAGAGGCTGTGGCAGGCAGAGGGGAACAGGCAGCAGAAGGCAGCGAGGCAGAAGCAGGGAGGCAGATAGCAGGATGCAGACAGGAACTGCAGCCTGCCACCCCCCCGCCCGCTGCCAGCCCTCTGTGCCAACAACCTCCCTGGCAGCTGACATGAGCTGTTGCCTCCCTCTCCCAAGGTGCCAGGCCAGCTGGCAAACACTGCCTGTGCACGCCCGGCCTTGGGGACGTGCAGGGGGGAAAATCCCATCCCCACAAAGGGACCTACTGGGGAGCCATTGCACAGGGCTCCACAGGGATGCAGAGACTGGGCCACCACCAACCTGCCTCACTCTGCTGCCAATGCCTTTCAGGGTGCTGATGGCCAGAGGAGGCGGAAGGAAAAACATCCAGCAAACAATTGCAAAAGTCAAGTCTGAGCAAGAAGGAAGGCGTGAGCGGGGGGGTTGCCAAATCCGGCAGTATTCCTTGGAGACACTGACAACAATGACAGGAATATTTAATCACGCCTTGCTGAACCCAAACCAGCAGGGGGGCTGGGGGCTCGGGACCTCAAGGAACCAGTAAGGGGCTGCAGCCGACCTGAACGTGAGCTGGGACAAGACTCTATGCACGCCCGGCTCTGGTGTCAGCAGCATTTTCTGGGCTGTCAGCTGGGCTGAGGACAAGGCCAAACACAACAAGCAGTCGCCAGCACAGTGAAGGGGACAGAGAAGTCCCCTGACAGCCCCCAAACACAATGGTCACAGGCTGGGATGGCAGAGACAAGGACAGTGGCTGACTAGGAGGGGATTGTGAGATGAAGCTGTGACTGAACCAGTCAGGCTCCATCAGGGCACAAAAGTGGCCTCGTGGACAAAAAAAGTTTCTGCCACCATCTCACACTGCCACTGCTACCTCTTTTCCATTGCCAGTGCAGGGTGGCACATGGCCGGAAGTCTGTCCCCTATCAGGGTGCCACCCCATCACCAAGGGTGGAAGGCAGTTTTAGCTCTAAACCATGAGGTCCTGCTTCTTGCCTGATGGTCTTCTTGCGGCGTTCACTTCTCCTCCCGAATCCTCCCAGGCCACCTTTGGCACTAGTCCCACCAGCCAGCAGACGCTCTGGTGCCTCGGTGCACACCGTTATCCCCCTTCTCCTCCCCTGCCTGAGACCAGGCAATAAAGTCTCCCTTCTGCTTTCCCTCCGCCATCTCCTCCCCTCCACAGCTTCTGCACACCCCTAAAGGGATCATCAGCTCTCCCGGCCCCCCCACCGCTGCGCAGCCCCGGGCAGGGGACAGGGGGTTCCTGCGGCGGTGGCTGAGGACCCCCCCCATCCCCGGCAGCCCCGGAGCAGGGGTTTCCCCCCGGCCCACAGCCGCTGCCCCCCCTCTCAGCCACAGCGGGACCCGCCCGCGGCACTCGGGGAAGCCCTTCCCGGGGCGGGACGGCCGGGCAGCCCCGCCCTGCTCCGCCCCCGCCGCCTTCTACCCGCCGCGGGGCCGCGCCGCCGGAGAGCGGCTGCCGG